GAAAACATAATTTAAAAAATTTAGGGATTCCCATTTCTACAATATTTTGGAAGAGAGATTCAGAGAATTGTCTCCCAATTGAAAATTTAAGTTTAAATACACATACAAACAGAGCAAGCAGGAATCACTTCTGTGACCTTGATTTAGGACAGAAGCTACTAAAGCGTATGCTGACCACTAAGGCCTAACCATCTTCACCTCAATATTAGTCTTATGCAAAAAATAAAGCTTTTACTTCAGACAAAAGGAAATTTCATCACACATTTCACTACCACAAATAAGCAAAAGGCCATTATCGCAGTTGTATAATTTGCTACTTACTAATCCTGTAATGATGGAAAGTAATATTAGCTTTTTTCATTCTAATATTTACCCAAAACAGAGAGGTTGCTTTCTGGTTATTAAGGAGAGCATTTGCCACCATGTTTTAAGGCATTCAGTCATTAACACATTATCTCTGCCATGCCTTCACACATAGTGTTTTTGTTTGCTTTCCTTTACAGTTCTGTATTTTCATATCCAGGCTGAGTGACTACTCACTATTTTTCCATTTTTCTAAAGTTTCTTGACATAGAAAGATAATTTTGCAATCAAGGTAGAACTTGGCTTTGTCTCCCTAACTAGTAAATCTAGTTTACAGACTGTTTCTCTCTCACAGTTAATGGTATCACCTGTCTTAGAGTTGCTTAGTAACCAAAGTATTGCACAGTTGACTCTCCTTTGCCCCTTATTTCTCCACATTCAACTTTCATCAAATGCAGCTGCAGTGGACATTCTGCGGCATCAGTCATATCATCTGCTTTCAGAAATGAAGGACTTATTTCTGCAGCTACTGGGAATAATGCTGGAAGATGACCATCAATCAGGTAAGCTCTCTTTAGGCATTGCCTTGCTTGAAAGAAGGAAGCTTTGTCCAAGGTCAAACCTCTTTCCACATGTATCCCACTTTCCATGACTGACCAATACAGCAGTATACAGGTGCAGTCCTCTCCTCTCAACTTGGGACAATTCTGAAAGGCCATCTAAGCTTCAGAGGCCCCCATGAGTTGTCTGAACCCATCACTGGGCTCATATGGAAGCTCAGCTTCCCTCTGTGGCCAATATACTTTTGAACTTTCCTTCCACAAGTGTTGATCACAACACATTTTGCCAATAAATGTCCTGAATACTAATCTTCCATCTCAGAGTTTGATTCCCTGGAAATCCAAGCTGTTCAAGCATCATTTTCCCTTTTTATTTCTCTTAAAAGTGCCCCTCTGTTTTTTAATCCACTACCACTGGCTGAGTTTGGTCTTCCCCTATTCTTATATAAGAAAGGTCAGTCCTAGCTTTTTGTTCCATGGCCAGATGGGCATTCAAATTTGAAATTCCACACAGGCACACTTGAAACCCAGTTGCAACTCACTGCTGGCTGATGTGCAAATTCCAGATCTATCCATTTCTCAAAATTTTTACCTACCGACCAATATGCTATCACACTCACTATAGTACATACTCCCAGTGCCCCATGAAAATCCCCTCTGCATAGAGATCCTTTACACACCAGTGGTTCTGTATGATTCTTTTTCAGTGGGGACTCACTGCCCGAAGTGCAAACTTGAATCAATGATGGATAGGAGTTAATGGACAAATGCCCCAACCTCTTTGCCTTTTGGTGTGACATTTCTCTCAGAAGGTTCCCAGTGAGGTTCCCCATGTCTCAGGGGTAATCTGATATCTGGCTTACTTTTTATTGACTTTCTCCCTTCAGCATCTTACGATAAGTTGTCAATGAATGCCAATTGATAGGTTCTGTGACTTTAAGTGAAACAACATATACCAAAACCAATATTATCATAGGCTAATTGATATAAACAAGAGAGATGTTCTTATGGCAGTGCATCAATGTTATAACAAACAACTGACATTGAACAAAACCACATTATTTGAGGACCTACAGTACTTCCCCATTTGCTCAGAGGGCTTCCTGTGATCATCTCTCAAATAAACTGCTTGCAATTAAATCCTTTTCTCGGGTTTTGCTTTTGGAAAAAGACACAAGCTAATCTTAAGAACTGATTGAAGAGAATATTGCTAAAGGCTGCAAAACAGATAGAGCTCTCAGATATGATAGCCCTCTGTCACCCCTTCTGTCTGTCTTATATATTACCTTCAGAGTTGTCTTTCTGAAAAGTTGACTCAGGCCCCTCAGTAATCCTCAGTGGCTCCCACTGAAATAAGAAGTAAAACAAAACTCTGCCCAACAAAGTCTGCCTATATTTCTAACTGTATGTCACTCTGCCTTCCTGCCACACACACACAGTCCAGACACACTGCTCTATTAATTATTTACAGAAAGTGTCTTTTCTGTGTTCATAATATGAGTGTTTCCTCTGCTGGAATGCCATCCCTACCAATGGGCTGATAAATCTTTTTGAGGTCCAGATCAAAGCCATTATCCCTTAAGAAGTCCTCTAGGACTCCTACTGTTAGGGATAGATATTTCCCACTACAACCCTCCCCAGTGCTGTATGTACACTTTGCGTACATCAGAGTATATCTTGTACTGAGATGATTTATGGATATCCATTTCCATTAACCAGATGGAATTCTTAGGACTCAAAAAGCCGTATCATCTATTTTTGTATTCAGTGGTAAGATTCAAAATAATGAACAAGCCTACATTCCAGCTCTGACCAATCAGGGAGAACATAGTATCAAAGTTCTGTGGCATCGTGATGTGTTTAAAGCTTTAGTTGCTGCTAGGCTGTCAGAAAGTCCAGGGGGTGTGGGGGAGGGGCTACGGTGGTTAGAATGGCAAGAGTTATGTACAGTAGAACTCAATTGAGTATTTGCCAACCTATAAGGAAAAACATCTATTATAATGTTTTAACAGAGCATAACTGGTTGCATGTCAGTTTTGTTCATAACTACTATGCTTATCAAGGCTTCCCCAGTTACAGACTTTTTGTGAATAATTGTTATATAATAAAAACAGAATTGAAAATTACCACAAAGTGATCTTTTAAAGACCACTGATACACACCTATATACTTCTTTAAACAGCACAAATGGGAACATTCTCAATACTTTCTAGTCTACTTTTCTTTATAGTCTATCAGATTAACAGCTGTTCAGAAGCAATTATATTTGCACTACTTAAATTATTGTTGACGTCTTCCAATAGCAACGTCAATAAAAATGGGATTAGCCTTCTTTACAGGCTCAGTTTCTCCACATCACAATGGCAACATTAATTCAATTCTAAGAGATCACCCTGGGAAGAACAGTCAGAATCATGTTTTGTAAATATTTTTCAAAATAATGAAGCCTGCAAAATCTCTTGTGTAACCAGCAACATTTGTTAATTCATCCTCACTTTACAACATACCCTGAGTTGCCTTTCATGTCCCCACATTCCTCCAGCTAAAGGCCTTCAAACTAATACAGGAAGAGTCTGTATCTGATTAGTGAAACTATGTATTGAAATTTTATGGTCTCAGAAATGCTGCCAAATCCAACAAAAAAATGACTATATGAAGAAACACATTATTTAATTTTTCTTAGCTTCATTTCTATAACTTTAAGAGTCTGATTCAGAGACTAGGGAATTTGTTTTGTTTAAGGGAGTCATAAACATTGCGAATTCAACAATATTCCACAGTTTGAGGTTCCTCTTATGTTCCTTCTCAGACACAGAACTCACTGCCTTTTATACAAAATGAAACTGAGATTTATTATGTTCATCAAAAATAATGGCAAAGAGTTAAAATCCTAAAACTAAAAAAAAATTAGAATTAGCATTTGAAGATTAAAATGAAAGTGAGATTTATATTTCTTAAAACAAATTTTAATCTGAATTACAAAATATGACAAAATATGGTACTTCACTGAAATGCTTGGAATAGGCTCACTATAGTTCAAAATCTACCTATCACATGGAGAATTATTACTGGGCTTTGTAAAGCCAAATGTCTGCAAAGTGATGGGAAGGTTTCAGAAGATGCTAATGACTATGACGGTGGTAAAATCTGAGGTTAAGCAGAGTGTGGGGATGGGCAGGTTGGTTCTTCCCTCACAGCACATTCTATTACAGAGGTAGTAACTGGATCATTGTTTGCCATTCTCAAATTTCCCTTCTGCTTGTTAATGGGATTGGTATCCAGTCTACTCTGTACTTTCTTCTTTGGTGCAGCTTTCTATAACTTCTATGCTGGATATAGACCCTTTCCTAAAACATTCTTTATTGAGGCAAGCAGGGATGAGAAGCTAGTTCTTTATTTCCAGGGCATACAAGATTGCTACTAGGTGTATGCTTTCTATACCTCTAACTAGTATCTATATACCTACATTACAATGATTTCCTCAGCAGGATCCAACCACCATGGGGCATTTAATTTTCTTCCAAATAGGATAACTTATCCCTTTGATGAGTCACAGCCCCTCTGTTCTTCCATATTACTCTTGTACACTTTTCACCACCTCTCCCTGGAAAAGCTTATAAGACTAATCTTTACCCCCACTCCCAAGCAAGCAATTCTGTTCAGGGGCCACCAGGGTAATTTGTATAAATGAATGCTTTGTTAAACACACAGTAAGAAAACTTCATATCTATCAAAGATTTTAACCTATTGTTCATGTATCAATTAAGTGCACATATGTTTTTATTATATCTAGTCCTATAAACATTCTCATAGGATGCTGTCTGGTTCATAAATTGGTATAGCTATTTGAAAGTATCACAGTTTTAAATGTCAATTCCCTCAATTAAGTATTTCTATTTTTAGGAATTTGTCCCACAAATAAATTCCAATAAATGGCCAAGAGAGCATAGTACTAGACATAAAATGTGGGCCCCAAAGCTCTGATTATTTAGAAAGGTAATGACTGAAATGGAAAGCTTCCATTTCCCTCTGGGTCAATTATTAGAATGGGAAAAAGTAAATGACATTTTTATATCTTCTGTTTACATATCTGGACTACTGTGATAGTTAAAAATATTTTATTAATGGTTTGGTTACCTTTGAATATTCCACTTTTCAAAGACCTTATGTGTACAACATATGGAACTCTATCAGCAGGCTCTATGGTGATTTGTCTTTCTCCCCACAGTATTGGAAGATTTGAAGATACCTGGAAAAGAGAATTTAAAACCAAGAATTATATATCAATATTTACATGAAATCAATATAACAAGCCAAAAGCATAGGAAAAATGGAATTTAAACACTTTCATTAACACTGTTCATTTTTAAATAAAAAAGCAAGCCAAAAAGTGCTACCTACAACAAAAGAAAAATATGGGACCTATCAAAAAATAGAACGAAAAATATTCTTACAAAACAGAACAATGTTTATTTTCTGTGGCTACTCGTAGCAAGATCCACTGATGCTTGGACAATCTGGGTATCTTTTATAGACCATTTCTCTATGCAATTCAATGTACAAAGGGTGAACCATTTCAATTAATTTCTACATCAATATTAATAGAGCATATAAAGAATATTTAAGCAACATATGTGTACAACTCTAGTTAAACCCAATTTTCAGCATACTGAATATTTATATTTTGCCACCCCCCCACTGCCCAAACATTAATCTATCTTGGGTCTCTACAAATTTGCCTATTCTGAACAATCCACAGAAAAGAAATCATACAATATGTGGTCTTTTTTGACTGGCTTTTTTCACTTAGCCTAATGTTTTCAAGGTTCATCTATATTGTGATACATATCAGTACATCATTTATTGATGAATGGTATTAAATTGTATGATATGGCATATTGTATATATTTATAAGTTGATGAAAGTTTGAGTCGTGTCTATTTTTGTCTATTATGAACAATGCTGTTATGAAAATATGTACAAGTTTTTGAGTGGACATAGATTTTCATTTCTTATGGACATACATCTTGGAGTGGAACTGCTCAGGCATATGATAATTCAAATGTTTAAGCTTTTAAGTTACAACCTTCCAAAACTGGTTTCCAAAATGGCTATACCATTTTTCTTTCCCACCAACAAAGCATGATGGTTCCTATTTTGCTACATCTTCTCTCAAAGTGTTCATTGCCTGTTATTTTGATTATAGCCATCCTAGTGGAGTGGTACCTCATTGTGATTTTCATTTACATTTCCTTAATGACTAATAACATGGAATATCTTTTCACCTGCTTATTGCTCATTTGAATTTACTCTTTGTACAAATATCTATTCAAATTCTTTGCAAATTTTCCAAACTGCATTACTTATCATTTTATTATTGATCTTTACATACTTCAGAAATAAACCCTCCCTAGCTGGTGTGGCTCAGTGGATTGAGTGCCAGCCTGCAAACCAAAGGGTTGCCAGTTCGATTCCCAGTCAGGGCACATGCCTGGGTTGCAGGCCAGGTCCCCAGTAGGGGGCACACCAGAAAGACAATCACACATTGATGTTTCTCTCCCTTAAAAATAAACAAATAAATAAAAGCCTTTAAAAAAAGGGAAAGAAAGCCCTCATCAGGTACATAGCATGTGGATATTTTCTCTCTTTTTTTCTGGTTTGATGTTTCACTTTCTTCAAGCATCATTTGAAGCACAATCATTCTAACTTGAAGTACAATTTATTTATTGTTTTGTCACTTGTGTTTTTGGTGTCATATCTAAAAAATAATTGCTTAGCCTAACCCAAAGTCATGAAGATTTACTGCTATATTTTCTTCTATGATATTTATTATATCTATTCAATTTTGGTCTATGATCCACTTTGAGTTAACTTTTGCACATGGTATGATTTAGGGGTCTAAATTCATTCTTTTGTATGTGACTATACAATTGTCTCAGCACCATTTTTTAAACACACTTTTCTGTTTCATTGAAGTCTCCTGGTATCTTTGTCAAAAATCAATTAACTATTATTATAAGGATTTATTTCCAGACATTCTATTCTATTCCATTTATCTACATACCTACCTTATGCCAGTATCACATTTTCCTTATTAATATAGTTTTGTAGTTAAGGGTTTGTAGTAAGTTTTAGAATCAGGAAGTATAAGTCATCCAGTTTTTTTCCTTATTTCACAAGATTGCTTTCTCTATTCTGTGTCTCTTACATTTCTATGTGAATTTTAGGATTACCTTAACAAATTCTGCAAAAATGTCAGTTAGGATTTTGATATTGTGTTGAATCTGTATATCCATGTGGGTAACAATGTCAGCATAACATTATTAAGTCTTCTAATCCATGATCATAGGATATATTTCTATTGATTGGAAATTTATTTAATTTCATTCAATAATGTTTTGTAATTTTCAACATAGAAGTTTTGCCCTTGATTTGCCAAACTTGCTCCTAATCATTTTTATTATTGCTGATGCTATTGTAAATTATGGATTTCACTTTGGACTGTTTACTGTAAACATATAAATGGTAGAATTTTTTTATATTTATCTTATATCCTGCTAATCTTCTGAATTCACATAGTAGTTTTGATAGCATGTTTAGTGAATTTCTTATACTTTTCTACTTATAAGATCATGATATCTACAAAGAGATATTCTTCTTTTTCAATGTAGATGCCTTTTATTTCTTGTTCTGAACTAATGGCACTAGCTAATACCTTCTAGTACAATGCTCAACAGAAGTGGCAAGAGTGGAAATCCTTATGTTATTCCTGACCATAGGGAAAAAATCATTAAATGTTTTCTCATTAAGTATGATATTAGTAGCCCTGGCTGGTGTAGCTCAGTGGATTGAGCGCGGGCTGGGAACCAAAGTGTCCCAGGTTCGATTCCCAGCCAGGGTACATTCCTGGGTTGCAGGCCAGAACCCCCAGCAACCGCACATTGATGTTTCTCTCTCTCTCTCTCTCTCTCTCTCTCTCTCTCTCTCTCTCTCTCTCATCTCCCTCCCTTCCCTCTCTAAAAATAAATAAATAAAATCTAAAAAAAAAAAAGTATGATATTAGTTGTGGAACTTTCACAGATGCCCTTTAGCATGTTTCAAGAACACATGGAATAGTCTCCAGGACAGACCATGTCTTTGGACATAAAATAAGCCTCAATAAATATAAGGACTGGTATCATACATAGTATGTGTTTTAACGATAATGGTACTAGAAATAAAAAATTTAAAAAATTGGGAAATTCTTAAATAGGTGAAATTTTAAACAACATAGTCCTAAATAACCAACATGTCAAAGAAGAAATCCCAAGGGAAATTAGAAAATATTTTGAGCCCATATTAATTAAATTATTGGGCATATTAAAATGCTTCCTTTCTTTTGCTATACTTTTCAACTCCAGAATTTACTATGTATATTTGTTGACACTGCCTGTGTATTGAAACTTTTCATTAATTCTTCAGACTAGATTCCTTTGAGTTCATTAAACATATTTATAAAGTGATGTGGACCTCGGCTTGCGGGGTCCACGTCATTATGGATGAAATGTGAGACAAATTCACATGGACTACTGAGTCCAGTGGAGGAAAAGGGACAGCATGCTTTTTCTCTCAAGGGGAGCAAAAATGTCAGCCCTGGCTCCAAAGAGCTTTTATTGTCTTACTGGGCACATTAAAAGAAGATCCTCATTAACTATGCACTGGCTTGCTCTAAGTGGTTACCTTATACAGAAAACAAAGGAGAGGATGCTGGCAATCACATCACAGAAGAAGGGATATTTGCAAATGAAAAGGCAAAAGTAGTTGAACCAGTTATACTCAGCCTTGGAAGGATTGGCATGGTTTTTAGGAAGTTGCTTTGCAGTAAATGTCCTCAATTCAGGGTGAGGGAGTTTTAGCAAAAAGCAAGACTCATAGTGGCCTAGGTACATTGCAGGCCTGATTCCCCATGGGAAAACTTATCCGTGGGCGTGGGTCCTGTGCATCTCTGAGTGGGACCTGGGCCCACACCACACAGAGTGGTCTCCCACAATAAAGGTTTGTTTAAAGTCTTTGTCTACCTAGCCAACTGTGGGCCTCTTCAGCTTCTAGTGACTGCTTATTTTCCTGTGTATGGGTCATACTTTCATGTTTATTTCCTTTTGTTTTGCCTCATCGATTTTACTGTTTTTGTTGAAAAATGTATATTATATATGCTAGTATAGCCATTTTTGAAATCAGATCAGTACTTCTCCATGTTTTGTTCTTTGTTGGTTTAGTGACTGTTCTGAACTAAATCTGCATTCACAGGAGTGTGTGCCCACTGACATCCCTGCTTAATTAGCTTAGTAGCCAGGAATAATTTGTCATGGATTTCTTTAAATGCCTTAAAACAATAAATCATCAAAGTGTGTTGTGGCATGCTTTGACCACTTGGGTAATTATTTATAACTCTGCCTTATTCTTCATTTCCAGTTCACACAGTGCCTCTGTGTGAGACAGAACTGAAAAAAACTGGCATCCTGTCAGATATTTCCTGGGCAAGTGCAGAACTCTGCACATGCATGTGGCCTGAACGTTCCCCAGGGACATCTCATTCCCCAGATCTTCCCTTCAAGTTTTTGGCCAAATTCTTGTTGGTCATAACTGTTACTGTAGCCTCAGGCAACTGCAATGTCAAACAATAACTGTTGAACAGTTTTGGCAAATGCCCTGAGGATAGAAATATAAAAATATTAGGAAGACCTGGGGCACATGAACAGAATTATTTATACTTTAATGAAATAAAATTTAATTAATTTAATGGGTATTTTCCTTAATTACAGAAAGGGCTGCACTAAAAATGTACCCTCTATAAGTAAATTAACCAGATTCTTCAGTTTTATTTGTGGGTTAAAGTGATAGAAATATAGACTTTAATTATCATTGTTTGTGAGAATAATTTTGCTATGAATAGAATTCTACTTCTACTTTTAATTAGATACAGTTAATATAGCATAATTACTTTTAAAAACTTACATTTTAAACAGTGCATTCATTCTGAAGAACAGAGTATTAAAAACTTATAGACATCATCACCATAACAGTAAAATAAAATAACCAATGTTATGAAATTACGCAGTTTTCTTTAACCTGTTTTCATCAAACTCTTAAGACAGGATTCCTTGCTTACCAGTAAATTCTGAAAGGTGAAAAGTAGTAGAAAAATATTTTTTTTCCTTATTTTTAAATAATAAATCTAAGTAGTCATGATTTTTTTCCTTCCTTCCTTCCTTCTTTCCTTCCTTTCTTCCTTCTAAATGCCACATATTAATTACATGTGTATCTGTTCATTAAATAAAACTTCCTTTAAAACTATTATGTGCTTGACACTATGGATTTATGCTAGTTATAAAACTATGGATAAGAGAGACATGCCCTTTTCCCACAGTTTATAATCTGGTGGAGAATAATAAACAGGCAATAGCAATATGAGGCATGTATGATGGTGAAACAGGTACAAAAATGCTGTGGAAGCACATGAATGGTATTTACTCCAGGTTTATGGGAATAGGGAAGGATTTTTTTAAAAGTGTCATCTAGAACTTGTCCTAGACAATGAAAAGGAGTTAGACAAACACAAGGACATGGAAGATAGGGAGTTGGACTGAGATTTCCAGATGGTAGCAAAAGGAAATGTTCACATACAAAGGCCTAAGTGTTGCTGGAGCCAAAAGTGGTAAGACATGAAGCTGAGCAGATAAGCTTTTAAAGGACAGTAAAAGCCACTTTGAGGAGTATGTACTGCATCCTGAAGGGAAGAGGTGACATGGAAGAGTTTTAGCAGAGGAATGACAAAAAGAGATTTGTGTTCATAATATTGATTCCATCTGCAACCCAGCAAGGAAAGAAGAAGAAAACCAAAGCACATATTTTCCAAGATCATAAAAAAAGCAGAGGGTATGGTGGGATTACAGACTGGTACAACCACTATGGAAAACAGTATGGAATTTTCTCAGAAAACTAAAAATGGATCTGCCTTTTGACCCAGCAATTCCACTGCTAGGATTATATCCTAAGAACCCTGAACTACCAATCCAAAAGAACCTATGCACCCCAATGTTCATAGCAGCACAATTTACAATAGCCAAGTGCTGGAAGCAACCTAGGTGCCCATCAGTAAATGAATGGATCAAAAAACTACGGTATATTGACACAATGGAATTCTATGCAGCAGAAAGAAAGAAGGAGCTACTACCCTTTGCTATAGCATAGATGGAACTGGAAAGCATTATGCTAAGCGAAATAAGCCAGGTGGTGAAAGACAAATACCATATGATCTCACCTTTAACAGGAACCTAATCAACAAAACAAAGAAACAAGCAAAACATAACCAAAGACACTGAAATAGAGAACAGGCTGACAATGACCAGAGGGGAGAGGAGAGGGAATTTCAGGAGAAGAGAGCAAGGGTTTGAAGGAACTAGTGTAAAGGACACATGGACAATAACAACAGGGGTGGGGGGGGGAGTGAAGATGAAAGGGAGGTGGGGAGCGCTGGGGGTAGGATGGGATGGGGGTAAAGGGCAGAAAACTGTACTTGAACAACAATTAAAGAAATAAAAAATAAAAAATAAATAATACATATATGGAAAAAAGCAGAAGGTAAATCCTGAGAATTTCCAAACTTTGGCAGTATCCTCTAAAACTGAATTCAGATGCCTGTGATGGATAGATATTTGAAACTTCTTTCAAGGATTCTATTGAGCACACAATAATTTGTAGATCAATATGGGAGTGGGGAGTAGAACATTTATTTTGTGATTGGCTGAAACAAATCTAGCAAGGAGAGCTAAGTGTAAAACTCATAAAAAATAAACATGCAAATAATTATGCATTTCTTCACATGAAGAAATGTGAATATTATTCACACTGGTAAAAAGACAGAATACATTTTTGGAATTTTGTGTTTATAGGTTTCACATTAAAATTACAAAACATGTTTAAAATTCTTTTGAAAATACCTTGTATTATTTAGTACAATTTCTACAAGTGAAAATACACATGACTCAAGTAGATTTTAATATGTCTTATGATTATATACTAATACTTAGAAATGAAACTTGTTCAGAACTAATTCAGCTTTATAATTGCAATGAAACTTAATACCTGTTAGACTAATAAAAAGTAGAATTCTAAATATTCTTTAGTGTCATTGTTTCACCTAGTTAAATATAAGTTAATGATTTAAATGTTCATATAACTCAAAATACTCCCACTAAAAAAAAATCTTACCTTGTATATTACCATGTCCTTTTCATAATTAGGCACCATTATGGTTCTATCTTCTTGGACTCCCACATTACAGTTTGCAACGATGCGTTCCAAGGCCACGGGTCTTTTGCCAATCCCTTTCAAGGCAAAGATATGCTCCATACCATCTGTTTTATTTTCTACAGTAAGTTTGCCCTGTGACAAATAAACCAAATTTCAGCTCCTTAGGAGTCACAGTTGGATGCCATACAACCTCTACTGGCCTATTAATCTTGAATCTGAGTAATGAAATGAGCATTCACAGAGGTGTCAGCCATTTACTCTTCTAGTTTAGGTACAGTACCTCAGCTGAAAGACTAAGATGACTTTCCTGTGAAAGTCTCACTATTTCTCTTTACTTTTTCTAAATACAGAGTTTAGATAGGCATTCTGTTACATGGCAAGTACATGAGTGTTTACATCCTTGTCAAATAAATATGTCTTCAGAAACTAATTTCTGAAATACTAACTTCCTTAATGAATAAAAACAATAGGAGCAATGATTTTATTTTTTACACATTTTATATAAAAATAATCTAGATATAAGTAATGGCAGCCAATGGCATTGCAATTTTCACAATGTTTAGCTCTCAAACTAAAACATTTATTAGAGTTTCAAGCAGAGTGAACACAAATGATCAAATTCATGAAAATATAACTTATCTGAAAAAAGATTTACCATAAATTATATAGGTTAATGTAATACATTGTTTTATTGACACACTAACACTAGGTAAATAGTATCGATGAGTTCATACCATAACCTCACGTTCCAAAACAGGTTTGAATGTGAGAGGGTACTCTAAAGTTTCTCCTGGTCTAACAGATACTTCAGGAGGTCCATCAAATGTTTCTCCTTCTATAGTCACACGATATTTGCATTCCTTCTTGGTTCTATTAGTCTAAAAAGCATGAGAAAGGTAGATAAATATCAGAGAGATATTTATGAAGTTGAATTACATATTAATTCTTGGTGGTTTTCATAAAATCATATATTGTATTTTTGAGTCTATCTCTTAAGAATCTCCATTTGAAAGTCATATTTGTTAAGAACAACTATCAAAAATGTGAACATGAGGCACAAGAATGACTATATGCTCGTTCAGTGTCATACAGGAGCCTTGCCTAACAGGTTGATCCATGGATTATTGACATCTAAAGAAATATTCCCTTGTTGGACTTATTAGGGGTTTAAATGATAAAATTGTCTTGGGGGTTACACATTTTACTCCTAGTAATTGGCCACAAAAAAGTGTTCTAACTGTAGATTGCTTGCATAGCAAAGGTTACATATGTCATCAGAGCAAGGTTTTGTGCTTTGAGCAGACTTCTGTTATATCTTTAATAATTAAACAAATAAAAGACAATTTATCAGTCAAAAATTCAAAATTCCTTATAATTATATTACCTTCTTTTATGCTATATGATCACTTTGAGTGATAGATAGCTAAGATACAGCCAATCGTTGTTCTTAGTGTCCATAAACTCATCTTAATAGCATCAAGATAACAAATGAATTTGGAGCAGAGTGATCAGAGAGTCCATTAGTCTGCTTCGTGGAGCCAGGAGGCATAGTTTTTGAGTGGGAATTTGATGATAGGTTAAGGAAGTTAAAGTTAATTTTTTTACACAAAGAGATCCCCTTAATTTTTTTACACAAAGTGATTAATCAGGTGAGTAACACAATGACATTTATATTCAGGAATAAAGCTCTGACTTCAATGTAGAGAAATAAACAGGAACTGATAATGCATTTAGAAATCAATAATAGTTCAAGATGAGACTTTGGAACACTTTAATTGAGATGGTGGTAGTGAGAATGAAGAAAAATACAAAAAAAAATGTTCGTACTTACTATTGGAATTTTCTGGGTAAGGGTTTGAAATGTGGGTGTTTCAAATTTAATTCCAGTGGCTGGATACTCATCAGCCACCACACCTTCAACATAATACAGACGTACATCATAGTTTGACACCAACAAAATTTGGCAAGGGTAGCGCCCAGGAGGTGCAGGAGTAAATCGTAAAGAAATTACAAAAGATCCATCTGGAACTATGAAAATAATTTAAAAATAGTTGAATTATTTTAAATGGCATACATCCTAAAATCATTTGGGGTAAAGCAATGTTTAATATTACTGCATTTAATTGTATAATCTAGAAGAGACTGGTTTATGACAAGGTAACACACTACCTTTAAATCTTCATGGCATAACAAGCAACTTTATTTGTCAATGACAAATAGGTCATTCATAGGTCAGAGGAGGGTCTGCTCCATAAAGTCATTCAGGGACCCATGCTGTGAAAGATGTATCATCAGAAATACCTGTCCTCCTTCCCTGACAGGTCAGGTGAAGAGGAGTGGTTGTGAGTGTGTTCATGGACTGACTTTTCAATGCTCAGCCCCAAAGTATCACAAATTACATTTAGTTTGCCAGAACTAGTCATATGGCTCTATCTAACTGAATGGGAGCTAAGAAATAAGACAGATATTTGGAATATTTGGTAAGCATTATTGTTTTCCAGATTTCTGGACTTATGGGTGCTCTGTCCCATATCAAAATAATTTGCAACTTGACCAACAGATAGAAAAAATTTTTTCTTAGTTAATAATCTAAGGAAGCACAAAGAACTATGTCTAATTAATACTTCTCATATCACCTTGTTATGCCATTTACCTTAAGTTAATTGGTAATATCATTTCTTATGATGGGTATGCTATCTATGTTGGCCCCTTCCTTCCAAGCAATACTACTTTTTCTGAGAAGATCAGCATTTTCTTATTCTCCATAAAATGAGAAAGCCATTATAAAAACCTCTCAACTCTAAAGTAGGATGCAGTATAAGAATATAACAGAAATTTCAACTAATGCCAAAGTATTTAAGTAGTACATGAAAAAACAAATGATAAAAAATATTTAGAAGCCTAATTCTGCAAAGTTCTCTCAAACCAAGAAAATGAACCAAGCTTATCAACCAATGGACCAGACAGATATTATTGTTACAGAACAACAAGGGGGGCCTGGGACAATATACTATTACCGGAAAGAAAACCCCAGGTCTGTTATGTCCGCCACCTATAGGAAAGATATCTCTCTCAATGCCAGAGATTCGTGAAAAGGAAAGGAAATTTTATTTAATGGTATACAGACTTAAAGTAGTGACCTAATGTCTTCATCAAAATCCTAAAGTCCCTTAAAACACCCACACACAGACACAGTCCTTCCTTTCCCCTTTGCCCAGTCCAGAGTACTGTATCTCAGGAAAGGAAATAGAAGTCCATGGCTCAGGCAGTCCCCAGTTCTTCCCAGTAATCCATGCTAGGCTGGTAAGCCTCCCTCGGTTCCCGGCACTATCAGCTGTGTTGCCGGGATCTCTGCTAAAGCTGGGTCGTGGTTCCTTCTTCTAAAGCTGTGGGGGTCCCCACTCTGGCAAAGCCATGTGGTTCTCTCTCCACTGCTCCAGCCACATGGTCCTCTCTCCCAGGGCCCCAGGAGTTCCCACTCAGTCAAAACCGCATGGTTCTCTCCACTCAGGGCCACGGGGGGGTAGGGGGGCATGTCACCACTCTGCCAAAGCCGAGTGGCGGTTCTCTGCTAAAGCTGCATGGTGATTCTCTCTCGCGGGGCTGCGGGAGTCCCCACTCTGCTATCCCCACTCTGCTAAAGATGTGTGGTTCTCTCTAATGGCTGCTGCACCTGGGTTTAAATCCCCACGCCAGTCTCCCTCTGCAGCCCCATTTCCAACTCCTCCTACAATTGGCCTCACATGCCAGAACTCATATCCTTCTAGCTTTACTGGACTTCCATCATGAGTATGGGCAGGTGTGGCCCCATGTCCTGGAGCCAATCATCTCCAAGCTCCCATGCAGGCGCTGTAACTCGGGGGACCTGCCCCCAGTTACATCTTGGTGGGGAATTTACTTCCATCCCCCTGGCTCAGAGCATGGCAGCAGCTATTTAACATATCTATGTAACAAGTTAAAGGTTATAGATGTGTTAAATGACCACGCCAGAGGTTAGCTGCAAGGCTGTTGCTATGCGAAACAGCTCTCAATGGCCCTGCTCCATGTGTCCCTTCCCCCAACCTACACCTGTCGGGGGGGCGGTGAGGACATCTTAATATTTCCTGAATACCTTGAGTTCTGGACCCCATTTCAAATGCCTATGTGGGGTCCCCCCTCTTGGCTGCACCCTGTAACATTATGACATTAATTGGTAATAATTTCAATTGACCTGCATTTAATAACACAAATATTAAAAATGGCAAATTTGTTTCCAAGCACACTGAAGTTTGTACACCAAGAAAATCAGCCCCTCCTGCAAGAACAATAATTGCTTTCAATCATTTTTCAAATAAATTGAAGATCTGTATGTGTGCTATAAGTTACATGTGATGTACTATATATTATAAAATATATTAGTTATGTATTATATGGCATATATTGCATGCTGTATATTGCTGTATGTCATGTATTGTATTTACACACTGTATATTCAAACACAATGTTAATGGATCATATTGGAAATCTATGTTACATCTAACCAAATTCCAAGATTCTCAGCTGGTCTAAGGAGGAGACAAAGTCTGTCAGAGTGTTATTTTTATTGCATCCTTTTCAAGAACAAATCAAATTTTAGGGGACTTCCGGCCAAGATGGAGGCATAGGTGGACGCACCTTACCTCCACGCACAACCAAAATAGGGACAACAACAATTTAGAAACAGAATAACATCCAGAAATGACAGAAAATTGATCTGAATGGAAGTCAGACAACCGAGAAGTTGAATTAGACCCGTACATCCAGACCAGTAGGAGGGGCAGAGACAAGCAGCCAGGTGTAGGTCAAGGCTTGGAGAGCAGAGAGTGGTGGGACTGGGTGCATAAGGCATCCAGGGCACACAAGACCGCAGCAAGTGGACCCTGAGTGCGTAGGCAGCAGCTGGCAGACCCCAGCCCAGGGGTGGCAACTGGCAGCCAGCAGACCCAGTGAGGCGGCAATTGTAAAGCAAGGCAGTGCACACAACCCAGGATCCCAGCACTGTGAAATAGAGCCTCAGGACACTGATTGAGGTCACCTGTGGGAGTTGAGGCTCATGGAGAGACACCCACAGGGGAGGTACTTAGAGGGTCACACGGCATGCAGAAGCCCACCCACATGGGGAATTGGCACCAGAGGGGTCCAGTTTGCTGGGAGGAAGCAGCAGAGGGAACTGAGGTCCCACAGAGAATGGAGCAACCGCCATTGTTCCCTCTCGACCCTGCCCCCACATACAACGTCACAACCCAGTGACTGGGGTGCCCAGCCCTGGTGAACACCTAAGGCTCCGACCCTTACTGTAACAGACTAGACCAGACCAAAAAAAAAAAAAAAAAGAGAGAGAGAGAGAGAGAGAGAGAGAGAGAGAGAGAGAGAGAAAGAGAAAGAGAGATGGCTCAAACAGAAGAACAAATCAAAGCCCCAGAACCCATCCTTTTAAGCGACCGAGAGATAGCCAACCTATCAGATGCACAGTTCAAAACACTGGTGATCAGGATGCTCACAGAATTGGTTGATTTTGGTCACAGATTAGATGAACAAATGCAGGCTACAATAAGAAAAATGAAGAAAAATGCACAGGGAACCAATAGTGATGGGAAGGAAACAAGGACTCAAAACAATAGCATGGACTAGAAGGAAAAAAGAAACAACCGAACAGGAAAGAATGGAGAAATAAGAATTCAAAAAAAATGAAGAGAAGCTTTGGAACCTCCAGGACATCTTTAAATGTTCCAACATCCGAATTATAGGGGTACCAGAAGGAGAAGAGGAAGAGCCAGAAATTGCAAACTTATTTGAACAAATAATAAAGGAGAACTTCTCCATTCTGGCAAAGGAAATAGACTTCCAGGAAGTCCAGGAAGCTCAAAGAGTCTGAAAGAAATTGGACCCAAGAAGGAACACATTAAGGCACATCATCATTACATTAGCCAAGGTAAAAATGAAGGAGAGAATCCTAGAAGCAGCAAGAGATAAGGGGACAGTCACCTACAAAGGAGTTCCCATCAGACTGTCAGCTGATTTCTCAAAAGAGACCTTACAGGCAAGAAAGGGCTAGAAAGAAGTATTCCAAGTCATGAAAGGCAAGGACCTACATCCCAGATTGCTCTATCCAGCAAAGCTTTCATTTAGAATGGAAGGGCAGATAAAGTGCTTCTCAGATAAGGTCAAGTTAAAGGAGTTCATCATCACCAAGCCCTTATTTTATGAAATGTTAAAGGGACTTATCTAAGAAAAGAAGATTTAAAAACCATTTATAGTAAAATGACAGCAAACTCACAATTATTAACAACCACACCTAAAACAAAACCAAAAGAAACTAAGCAAACAAGTAGAACAGGAACAGAACCACAGAAATGGAGATCACATGGAGGGTTAGCAACAGGGGATTGGGAGGAGGAGAGAATAGGAAAAGGCACAGAGAATAAGTAGCATAGATTGTAGGTAGAAAATAGACAGGAGGAGGGCAAGAATAGTATGGGAAATGTAGAAGCTAAAGAACTTATGACACATGGACATGAACTAAAGGGGGGGAATGTGGGTGGGAGAGGGTATACAGATTGGAGGGGAGTGAAGGGGGAAATGGGACAACTGTAATAGCATAATCAATAAAATATATTTTAAAAAAATTTAGAGTAAAATTTCCTCTTGTCCAAAGGGCTCTAGGCACACTTTATCATAAGTTATTCACTGATTACTTCCCTTCTGAAAGAAGTGTTTTTGTTGTGGCAACATCATTAGAATAAACCTGGTGAGATAATGATTTGACAAAAATCTGTTATTTTATTAACAGAAATAATGAAACCCCATTTTTGTCTTGCATGAAGAGACTGAAATGAAAATTCTTAGATTAAGTAATTTAAAGAAAATTAAAGTGCTTAGTATAGGAAATTTAAGCAATTCAACAATAATTATTTTCAGCAAAAATAAAGAATAAAGAATATCTATTTAATAGTAAACAACAATTGAAATGCACAAGTTCAAGTGTAAAGCATCTGTTAAAAGCTTTGTGT